GCTGTGTCCGGCAGCACTTTTTGGGCTCTTGTGCCCATCTCTATCTGTGTGCCCCCTCAGCCAGCACTTCTTGGGGATGAGGGATTTTTTTGACACTATGCAAAAAAGAAGGGAATAGTGGTCAGAGGATGTTTTACAAGTCTGGATATATTGTTCATAAGCATACTGTAAATATTGAACATTACAAAGGTCCAGTTTAATCAATGTACAAAATTGCAATGAATAGCAAATCTATAGCAAGAAGATAATTTGATGTCACAGCACAAAATATAACCTGAAGTTTTGTCAAAAAATGGTATCACAACAAAGAGCTTGCATTTCCTACTGCGTTCCTTTAAAACCTAAGCTAGCCATGCAGCATTGCACAAGTAGGGAAACCAGGCACACTATGCCTCAGTTCCTTTTCTTCCTCTTGTCCTCTGTGTTGGGAAATCAGTCACATCTTTTGTTGCTTGTGCATATGGAAAGGTCAAAGGCAAGGCACAAGAAGGAGGTTGCTGGGTGCATTTCTCAGTGTGGATACATTTTCCTGGTCTGAGCCTGCTAGATCTCCACTGCTCATGTGTGTAACCATCAGAATAAAACAGGTGCCCTGGATCTCCCTCTCCTGGCTCTAGACTGCCCAGAGAATGGCCACCTGCAGCTCTGTCCTTCCATTCAATATGTAAGGATTAAATTATGTACTCAAGTAGCGAGAAGATGGGATTTAGATTCCTCACAGCCATGAGAAAAACTGCTTTTTCCATTCCCCTGGGAAATGTCAAGGCATGTCTAGAAATGTCCTTGGAAAGGTCTCTGACCATCAGGCTGTGATTCAGCTGTGATGTTTGGTTCTCCATCTGAGGCTGTGACCCCTGAGATAGGCATGGTAAAGTGATGAAGCTGTAAAGAGGAGGTGAAATGCAGGAAGGAGTCCAGCACTCTGAGCTCTTTGCTGTCATGCTGCAGAGAGAGAAAATACAAATGTATTACAGAAAGAAGAAGCCAAATTCATGAATGATAAGTCCATCAGGAGACAAGCAACTTCACCTTGCTCAGAAAGTCTTCAGATCGGCGGGAAGATGTATGGGTATGCATCTTAGGATAGATGGACACAAGTGTTTCCATATTTACATTCTTTATATTATTTTCCCTGGACTTTGATTCAGAACAAGGTGCTGGGTTATGCACAGTCCAGGTTTGAACCACAAGAGCTGTTCTAATGGCCCTTCTTCTGCAGGGGAAGTAGCTCCAGCTCCCAGCCTTTTTAATGTGTTTTTATATTAAATAGTTATTGACAGGAGGGAGTGGGGGATATCAAAAAGCATAAACAATCCCACAATCAAGATCAACTTCTAGTGAAGCTGGAAATAGGCACAAGAAAAACATCTATGATCAAGGGGAGTCAGTTCATTCTCAGCACTATAGAAAATCTTAGTGGTCTGGGTGTCCTTTGAAATATGCCAATAGATGCCATTCTGGCTGGCTGCAGGTCTGGTCACAGGGAACAGAGGACAGCATTCATTTCACATAGGCTGCTAAACAGCTGACAGATGGTAATGACTTCATGTCACAGGTGACCCAAAGGTGAAGGGCTCCATATCTCATTACGCAGCCCCTTAGCTGTCCAGTAATCCCAAGCACTTTTTGTCAGGCTCACACTTTTATGTGTGGAAAGAAAGCATTCATGTGCACTATTTCTCTTCCTGTGCCAGATCCTTCCTTCAGGATGGGAAGCCCCTCAGGCTCTTTGGGACTGAGATTCCATGTTTGGAAGGTTATTTTCATCAGCTTGTAAAGCTTGGAGCAAACATCACTACTCCCAATCACACAGAGCTCTAATTGAAACCATTCCCAGTAGCTCTGTATCTACATATACACATCCTGATTATGACAAAGCTCATGAATAATCACTGGTGTGAACTCGTTCCTCATTGTCACAAGTTCAGGAAAGCAATGGGGATCCAATGGCATCGCCCGATCCCTCTGCAGGGCAAAGATGACAAAGTTCCTACTTTCTAAAAATAATTACATAGCCCAGTGTGAATTTTTTCAGCAAAGGACACCAGGATGACTCACAAGCACAGAGATTATGAAAATGTATTCATGCTGCAGCATTAGGATTAGGGCAGAGTGAAGTTGTAAATATTCAGCTTCACTTCAGGTTTCACCTCAGCTCTTCAAATTTCTGCCTAGCCCCATTTGCAGAATTAACTCAGCATTGTTGTTTCCTTAAGCATAGAAAAATACTCCTTTCTAAAAGCTTTTAAATGTGATGCAGCAAATTCTTCTGCTTTCGGTTCTGTGCTCTCCCTTCCTTGTTAACCTATGGGGTTTTCAAAGGAGGAGAATATGTCAGGCAATTTCTCTTTTCTGACCCTATGAATCTGAAATGAGATGGTCTCATTGTCTTTCTTTATCCGCACTGTAATTGCAGTTCCTGGTCTATTTCTAGAATGCACCTCTCTGGGGATCCACACACAATCACAGTATATTAGAATATTTCAATGCTTTTGTTTTCTTCATGGCTCTTTAATGCTTCCTTTCATATTCCTGATCCTCCCTGGCACATACAGGAGTACCTCCATTGAAGTCAATGAAATGTCATTTATTTTTCCCCCACTGAGGGTTTGATCCAAGACCTTTAGCTTTATCTGTGTTGTACCACAGCTGAACAGTTTACTCTATTTTTTGCTCTCTTGAAGAGCAAATATACATATATTTCTATATGTAAACTTCCTATCAAACAGGCATGTAAAACTTCTGACTGTTATTATACAATGTAAAGGGAGTATAAATGATGCTAAGAAGATTATTTTCAGTACCTTAATTGACAAAAGTAGTAAATGGTATAGAGAGAAGTTTTGTCTCAGGATAGGATGGAGATCAATAACATTCGTGGTACTTTACAAGAAAACTGAGGTTTGTTCTATTAGTTTGCTCAATCTTCCATAAAAAACACTTTAAAAACATTAGCAGGTAGAATTTAGATTAAAATCTGGTCAAATTTGGTCTGTGTGTTTTAAGAGAAATTTGGATTTTTTTCTGTTAACAGTAGAAATGGATGCTTTGGAGACATTGCTATAATAATAAGCTTCTTACCTTGAAAATGACATTCAGGAAAAATGTTGATTTCAGTTGCAAGATAAACATCTTTTTAAAATATAGATTTTTTTGCCTGCTCATTATATAGCTATGGTTTTGGGTTTTTTGGGTTTTTTTTCCTTCTTAGTAGTGGGTCTGCATAAATATCATATACTGTAATGCCTAAAACATTTTCTATAAAAAATTTTCCTAAAGGAAAAAAGCATATGTTCATAGATATACATATATATATTTTCAAAATTTTACTCTGGTCTCTGTCAATGATAGTAACTCTAAAATAAAATGCTTTCAATCACAATTCTTTGACAGTTTTGATTTAAATGGCTACACAATTCAGTGGCCTAGTGCTTCTGTATGCTATTTTCCAAGAAATTGCTTTGCCAAAAATTTTAGACCAATTGCGTTCAAGCTTCAGAAGAGGTAACTGGTAAATATGACTGGCATTATATAAAAAATTATCTTTTGTTCCATGAAGACAGCCAGGCAGTGGAGCAGGCTGTCTACAAAGGGTGTGAAATCCCCATCCCTGCAGACTATGAAGATTTGACTGATCTCACTAAGATTTTGGGCAGGATTTTGCACTGCAGACCTCCTGTGCTCCCTTCCATCCTACGCTGTCTTATTATCCTCTAGTCCTAGGAAATGTGAATTATGTTATAGAGCTTTCCAAATTAACAAAGGAGTTAGCATGGTACAGATGAAACTTTTTTAAATTTTGGTCACTCACAGAATGTTGTTTCTTAACTGGAGTCACCAGTTGGAACTGCTTTAAGGGGAGGGATATGTTAATGACACTCTTCTGAGAAAAGTATAAACTCAAAGCGGTCACTGCAAAGTCTTCTGGAAGCTAACTAACTACAACTTCCAATGCAGAAATTGTAGCAGACTCATGAAATATCATGAGATATCATGAGGAGTATGTTGCTATTATATATATATATATATATATATATATATATATAATTTTTTTTAAGGGTCAGAAAAAAACAAGAATATAAATATCCCATTACGGGAGAAAGAGCAGAGGCACTCAGGAGTTACTGGCTTGGTACAGCCCTCATTAAATCATGTGATTCATAGCTGTAGATCAATTTCTAGTAACACAGCCTTCCAAAGTCAGGCTCACTACTAGGATTTTAATATTAAATGTGAACTATCTTAAAGAAATACCACATATTTATTATTTTCAGCTTCAAAAATGCCTGGCCATTTTGTGCTCTGTCTTATCTAATATTTATAAAAACATCACATGAACACCTGGAAATTATTTAATATGATTTTAGCAACTGTCCACAATGCTCCTGTTTAATGGGCTTGGCAGCTTTATAATTTTTACAAAAGGTTAGGTGCAAAAAAATACAAAACAATACCCATTGAAGTTTGTTTAACAGTTGTGTGTTATCCCCACAACCATGGTTCTGTTATGCTCTGTGCTTTAAACACACACACACACACACACACAGAGATAAATTCTTTGTGCCCCAAGGATTTGCAGCCTAGGACTTCAGGGCAGATCATCACAGTGATCTGGGTACCTACCAATGCATGGGACTGCCCACAGCAAATTTCTAAAGGGAAGAGACTCACTTCTGACTTCAGCCCTCCAAACATTCTTGCCTAATCTAGTTTTCTAGCCTTCTCTCCTTCCACTGGCCGGAGATATATAGGCATCTCTCAGGGCAGGCTCACTGCATCCTTAAACAAGCAGCATGAATCACTTCCTGCAGCACCCATCATGTGCAGAGGTATTTAAATTCTGAAGCCAGATGCAGAGACATTTCTCCTGATTTGGAGGGAAGGCATCTAAAACTAAAATGAATTTTTAATTCAAAATCCCCCATCTTTCTTGTAAATAAAATACAAACAAATAGTAATATTAAATTCTGAAATGACAGCAGAAATAACTCCCATTTTGTACACTTTCCCATTTTTCTTTATTCTTTTGTGAAAATTTTTAATAGCAGAAGTGAAATCTATGATGTTTTTAGATTAAAATCTATTTCATTTTTGCTGCCTAACTTTTGGAACTCTCTGCAGTTTTAAATTTTCCAGAAGTATAACATTTTGAAATGCATTATTGAATTTTATTACAGTGCCCATAAGTGTACCTGGAGCATAACAATTTGCAAAAAGAAGAGAGTGAGGGAAGATAAAGAAAGAAGTGGAGGGGAAAGGTGCAGATTATTCCCACAGATAAAAATGAAGATATGCTACTCATTCCGTATTGATACATTAAGAAAGAAGAAGAGGGTAAAAGTTTAAAAAAAACGTTTAGCTTCATGCCTTATCATTTCATCTGAAACCCTGAATAAACTTTACTTATTTATGTATCTCCAGTTTACAACCAGAACTAAATCATCAACTTTTCTCTTTAGTATTTTAAAAAATAACTAATATGAGATTCTTCTTCATAGAAATATCTCATAAGATAGAACATAAGAATTTCCACATGAGAATTTCCAAAGACAGTAAACAATTTTCCCACCCAAATGCCAGGCAGTTCAAAGAGATTCCCTGGCCCAACATGTGCCATGGGCAGGCTGCCAGCAGACCCTGGTGCAAAACTAATCACCCAGAAAAGTCCAGGAGAGCAGGCTGGGCTCATGCAGCTATTGATCTGCAGCCAACTCTTGTGCTTGACAAGGTTCTCTGCAGCTAAATAAACCCCAATCAGAGCATATAAGTAGATATTTATATTAAGGCATTGGCCCCAGCGTTGACAAGGATGTGTTAAGGTTAAATTCAAGTCATCACCATGTGCATCACCATCAAGTCAAACCATGTGCTGTTTTAGCAAGTTCTGTGTAATTCCCTTAACTATCAGGTGCTGAGCAGATAAGGTGGTGTTCAAAGCCACAACCGATGGTAAAAAAATTGAAAGAATAAATCTTTGAGAAAAGAGCTGAGCATAATTGTTTATAATGTATAATGAGCTTTCTAAAATGAATATAAGAAATTTTGAAGACTGTATAAACCTGGGAAATGGCAGTACGGGGAACAATATATCATCTGAAGCACTACAAAGTCCTCTGTGATTTGAAGGGATTGTGAATGAGGTGTCCCTGATATGTTTTGTCTTTTTTAGTTTTAAATCTGTGCTCACTCCCACTGTTAAACAAAGGCAAATGCTGATATTTGCAGTGCAGGTTTTCCTCATAGAATGTAAAGGGCAACTGAGGTAAACCACTACTGGGACACAAATTATTTGTTGAAAATGTCTCAGCTGCAGCATTTGTTTTAAGTGTGTCTTACTCCTCTCACCTCAGTGCAGACTGAATGTTCATCAATGTACTGCTTATTGACCTTGTGCTCATATACTGAACCAGAGCACTGTATTACCACAGAACTTTGTCTTGCCTTTACTGTGATTATGACACACTTTGCAAATTCCATGTCCCTAAGAGGCTGTAATGCTTTAAGACATTGCAATGATCAGGAAAATCATATAAACAAAACACTCAGGAGTTGTGGAAATGAGAACATTCACAAAGAACTAAGCTTAAAAATACATTTTGGACATCACAAGAAAATTCTTTGCATCATGTTGTGTCTTTCTCTGACTAAAGGTAATAAAAATTCAGTGCTGTTTAAGTAAAGCGCATTTCTAATACCACAGTCCACTGAGCTCCATAACACCATCTTGATTTGATTTCTCATGTTCCACATTTAGTAATCACCCAGTTGTGTCTGGTGGGTAACAGAAATATTGTTTATGAGTGAGAAAGGCTGCAAACAGCTCCTGTCCTTGGGAAGCCATTCACTGCACTCTTATTCCTCACACACTCTCCTCTGTCATATTCAAGAAGCTGCTCACAGGTACAATGTCTTCAATTGTAGCTTCAATTCCAGGGGTAAAGTCTTTCCTTTTTCAAACAGAAAATGCACCATACCTATGTATTACTGAGTAACTTCCAAAAAATATTTTGCTGAGCAGTTCTGGGTCATGAGTGCACAGCCACATCCTTAGTATTGGACAAAGACATAAGAGATGCTTAAAGAATTGGGAAAATGTGTTATAGGAACAGTTGCCTGTAAGGTTTAAGTATAACAGTGATTGGTGCAGAGAAATAAATCAGATAAAGGCTTCATAAGAGATTTTGCCTCTATTTGTGTGCACCACTGCAAAGAGGTATTTAAAAATATTTTACCTATCAGACTGCCTTCTACCATGGAATAAAATTGTTCTGTCAAAATATCACATCTCTGGAAACCTTCGCTTTTTTACCTTTCTCATTTTTTCCTCAATCCAGATACCTCATTGACATGTTGCCAAGCCTTTATTTCCCTTGATTTGGGGTGAAAGGAAATCAAACCTAGGAGGAGGAAGATATTGCTCAAGAATACAAGGAGACAGCATGGCATAAGGAAGAAAGATGAATAGTAGCAAACTGAGTAGATAAATTGCAAGTCAAACATAGCTGATGAATCATGGTGTAAAATATTTGTAACTTGATACCTGTGAGAAAAGAGAGGTATTTCTCATTACCTCATCTCTCTAGCATGGTGTTAAGATGCTGTCTTTGCAGTAGGCTGAATATTTTTGGGCATTTATGAGCTGGATGATATGTTCTTTATGAAAAAGTCATAGGAACAAGACATAATTGATCTACACATTCTTCTGAAAATGTGCTTTTCTTTCTGTTGTGTAGTCCCTGCTCTTCCTTCCCAATCAGACAAAGCTGAACTGTGACTGGTTAACTTTCAGTGGATAGAGGTTTGGAAAAGCCATGCTCTCTGCACACTGGCATATCAGAGAGAGGGGAATGCTAAAGCCCCAGAAAGTGTCTTCACTTTGCTTTTCCAGGAATTCCTGCTATTAAATGTAGATGTCTTGAGAAACACCAAGGACTGAAGGTACTTATAAAAGTGGGGAAAAAATGCCCAAAATACACCTTTTATTTTCATTGTATAAAATGAGACATCAGCATAGAAAATCAAATGGAGTCAATTGGTTTCAAAAAGACATCCCCTGATGGGGGTACAGCCACTGCTTCCCATCCAGAAGATCCATGGGTCTGTCCAGAATTCTGGAAAAATCCTCAGAACACACATGCATGAGTTTTGTTAAATAAAAAAAAATTGGAACGGAGTGTTTTGCACTTCTAATATTACTAAAAACTCCTTTTAGAGAGCTACTTATAAAAGAGGCAAGGTCAGATAAGCCTAAAGCAAGCAGCTGAACATCCCCAGGTGTAGAAATCCTGAGGCCATCCCTTATACAGCAAGTTCTGCTAAAAGACAGATTATATCAGAGAAGAGATATAGTTTTGTACTTTAAAAGCTGCCTATTGTGCAAAAGGCATTAGGATTATATCAGTCTAGCTGAGGATTTTATGGCAATTTAGATGATGGCAGATTATTAATGTAGAAGTACCTGTTTTATCAAGAATATCACTTTACTTTTTTGTCTGATTTTCACCATGTGCCATATGTACAGCCATTGCTCAAAGGCTGCGAAGGCATTATCTCTTGCCTCACTTATCATTTCTGAGAAAAGATGAGAAGGAGGAGAAAGGAAGGACAGAAGACGATGATCAGAAATAGAAAAGTTTCAAAGTAGATCAAATAAGGATGTCTGTAATAGTTTCCCTTTAATGAAAGGCATCATTAATCAGCTGTAATGGTGACTAAGAGTGTTGGTAAAACAGTAAATAAGCTGAAGAAAGCAGTCTCCAAGAATAAATGTGTACTGCATTGCAGCAGACATGCTTCTCATTAGTTTAACTCAAATGTCACCAGTTAATGGGGGAAGCGATTTAGCAACGTCCTGAATGGTGTCACTGTGGTTTCTTCATCAGCCTCTCTCTGGGCACCTGACCCGTGTACCTGCAACCAACAGCAGAGAGGCATTTGTGAGTACTGTGCAGACTGTAACCTAAACCAAACCAAACAGTAAAAAATAGCTCAAACCCACAAACAAAAACCCAAGCCACCAACCAAACAACAAATTACCAAAAGCCCTCAAACAAAAAAAGGCCCAAATAAAAAAGGAGTGGGGCATTACATGGAGCTCTGTTACTGCCTCTGCATAAACTATTACCTTGCTTGAAGTCCTGCCAGAAGGATTTAGACTACAGCACAGCCAGGGAGCAGCTGGGAGATGAGAGGATCAATAGCACCAGCAGCTCTGGTGCAGTGCCTGCAGGAGCCATAGCACCCACACCTGGCACCAGCCAGGGGCAATGCACACCACAGTCCCTCCCCATCTCCAAGAACCTGCCCACCTGGCTGGCTTGAGTCCTCTTGCCAAGGGAAGACTCTTGAGCAGAGAAACTGGCTTAGCTTTTCAGGGCTTCCTTTGGAGTTTCTACAAGAACCTCTCATTCCCCTTCAAGGTGCCGTACACACGTAATGACAGAAAAAGTGTTGTATCATCCACTTGTGTTGTTTGCAAAGACAGACCACAGAGCTGATTATAACCTGTCCTGTGGCTCCTCTGTGGGCCAGGGGAGTGGGCTGGAGCTGAAGCAGAGACTCAACAAGGGAGCAGAATCAACATCTGGAAATGTCCCTAAACCTAGACCAGAAACTAGAAAGATTTTAAAACCATACCAAGTGTTTGCTCCTGCCAAAGTCAAGAAACAGGACCAAGGGGAGCCATCCTACAGGTGTTTTACATCTGTCTTCCAGATCTGCAACATCAAAAGAACTCATATTAATTGTTAAGAAAATTATCTTTTAAACATTAATGAGAAGACTAAATGGAGACATTTTGCATTTATTTGAATACTAAAAAAAAGATATATTCTATCCGAGTGAATCTAGCACTCTGAAAACTGTAAGATAGTGCAACAATAGGAAAACCCCAATATCAAATATTCAGCTCTAAAATCAAGACTTTGTTTCAATAAGTAATGAGTATTACATTTTAATATACAGATAGAGTTGAAAGGCAATTGATGTGAATGGAATTGTTTTGGAAAAGTAAACTTAAAACTGTTTGGACAGAAGTAACAGGGTGGTAGGAGTTTTTCACCCAAACACATGTGCTTTTTGAAAGGCGCAAGTTCTAGGGCAGGAGGTTAAACCACCCCTGCCCACCCCCACATACCTCCCTCTCATCCCCCCAAATTGGTAAGTGATGATAAATTAAGTTGTGACTTAAGTATTAAATGACTGGTTTTGCTCCACTATTAAACTTTCTCAGAGTTTTTTCACGTACAGGAGAAGGACCCTACTAAGGAGGATTAAGATCTCAGATTTAGGCAATTCCTCTTGCATTGCTTTTTTGCTACTGGAACTTCAGTGAATTGACACCAACTCCTCTGAAATCACTACTTTGTGGATGTAAAGGAAGTAGGAAAAGACTTCAACACAGTAATTGACAGGCATCAGCTAGAACCTTTTATTGCCTTCCTTTGACCACAGAATTTGCTTTTAGCAATACTGAAGCTGAAGGACAAAAAGTGTATTCAGATCAAAACTTGGCATTAATGAAAAAAGGAAAGAAGACAGAAAAAGCACAAGCACACCCAGATACTCTCCCTAATGTATCCTCTCAGCTGTCAGAAACCTTAGCCTCCTAAGCCAGTTATTGTATTTTCCTGTGTTTAACATCCTGTAAGAATCTTTTCATTTCCCATTAATTCCATGAATTGCCTTTTGGAGCCACTTATACTTTTAACATCCACAGCATCCTGTGGTAAAAAGGCAAAAGCTTCCCCAGACAGGCTCAAATTATAGAAACATTAGAAGACAACTGGTGAAACTGTGAGAAACCATAAACAATTTTTTCCATGTTTGCTTTTTTTCTCTCCTTTGCACCAATTTTTAGTTTCCTTCATTAACTCCTTTTCCAAGTTTAGACATGCCAATCCAATTTATCCTTGCAAGAAGGCAGGCATCCTTATTAGAAGGGCTTGAGTCTCTTACATAATATTTGCTATTTTTCTATTTCCCTGGAGATGCCTAGGGAAAATGGGATTATCCAGTTGTTTTATTTTTGCTCTGTGGCTTATTTCACTTTAATATTCCCTTTATTCCCTTCATATCTCTGTCTCTTTTTTTTTTTTTTTTTTTCCTGTAAAGAAAATGAAAGGCTGAGAGATTTAGGGTGGTTCAGCCCGGAGAAGAGAAGGCTGTGGGAAAACCTTAAAGCACATTCCAGTACCTAAAGGGAGCCTACAAGGGAGATGGAGAAAGACTTTTACAAGAGCATGTAGTGACAGGACAAGGGGGAAGAGCTTCAAACTGAAAGAAGGCAGATTTACATTGGGTATTAGGAAGAAATAGGAAGAAATTCTCTACTGCAGGGCATTGGAACAAGTTTCCTTGAGAAGTTATGGGTACTTTATCCCTGGGAATGTTTAAGTCCATGTTGGATGGGGCTTTGAGCAATTTGATCTAGTGGAAGGTGTCCCTGCCCATGACAGGGTTGGAACTAGATGAACTTCGTCTCTTCCAATCCAAACCATTCCAGGTTTCTATGGTTCTGTGAAAGTGAGAAGAGCAAATTTTGATCCCAGACCTCTCAGCTGCCTGCCCCACCTCTGGGTGCCTGTGATTCAGAACGGATTCCATTGATGCAGTGAGAAGATGCAAGCCTCAAACAGCCCACAAAGCTGCAACATTTCTGTTCAGTGCTTTACATTAAAAATCTTCAGCACATTATCAATTACTCAGCTACTTTTTAAAAACACTTTTAGATAAGAGCCAAAGAAGAGGCAGTTCTAGCTGCTTTTACAGATATTTCTAATTACTCACCAAGTTTCCCACAAGAACAAGCTCTGCTAGAACAGTGAAGTGGCTGAAATTCAGTCATTCCATGTGCCAAAGGAAAAATGTACCCTTTCACCTCCAGCACTGGGGAACAGTTGGTTTTCACAGAGAGCACACAAAAAGTCATGTCCTGCTGATTTGGTTTACTAACTGTGGAACTAAAAATATTCTTTTTGGCCTGTCAGAACAGCTGATCTTGTAGTTCACTTCAAATCCAAGTGACTTGCACAAAAAATGCCTGTACACTGAATAAGTGAAGAAAATATCTGACTGAACTGCAGCTGGAGGATATGGTTTGCTCCCACTGTCTTTTCCTGCACATTTGAAAAGAGAAGTCTGCTGATATTTACAATTGAACATATTTTTGCTATGTGCTAGTGCTAAATGCATGTAGCAAATGAGAGCTTCTGCCTGCACACAAGAGAGTTGTCAGCCTGTTGATATTTGCACTCAAAAGCTAAGGCAAACTGCTTGCACCCAGATATCTGCCTTTATCTGGATGCATATTTTCTCTAAGGTACCCTGGATGAAAACCTTGGGAAACCTTTAACAACATGTCAAATAGGAGGAGTTATTGCCTACTTTGAAAAGACTGCTTGAACCTTTTTAACTCTTTTGTTTCTTTGCCAGAGAGAGCTGGTGGTGAGCCCAAACAGTAACTCCAGCTGCAAATCTTTACTAAGCAGCACAGATCTAAAGCATGACAAACTGAGTTGGTAAGAACTCCAACAGGGTCAGGAGCAAGGGAGTTGCTGAAAGTATCATCTAAATCATCAGAAATGGTACTATTTCCTTGCCATTTTATTCTGGGTCTTTCCATTTTCTTCAGCTGTGCTATCCACTGGACCGGCAGGCTGCTTTGAGAGCCATTAAGGAAGAGAGGAGTTAAAAGCATAAAGCCCAGAGTCCGAAACCCAAATTGCTGCAATAACAGCTGTTGACAAACATAATAGGGAAATATCCCAGAAACCAGTAACCAACAGCATGCAATCAACCAAATGTATGGATTTTGCTGTCAGAAGCCAAGACATAGACATCCTCCCTGTGATTAATGTATCTTTGCATTTCAGTCAGGAGATCCTCCTCTTTCTGTCCATTTTTGGGCGTTCCAGTGCTGTCTGCAACACACCAGAACCTGTCAGGAAAGATCAGCCTGAACTGCAAAGCACTCAGCTCTATAGCATTCATCTCCATTTTGTTCTTCTAATAAAACAGTCTTGGGTTTTGTTTAATTTGGTAGAATTCAAATCTAGCACTGTTATCTGCCAGAGATAGATCCCAAAGCATAACATTTCCATTCAAATACTTTAAATGCTACATACAGATTTATCTAGATGCTTGCCTGTTTTTTTCTTTTTTTTTTCTGTTTAGAAAGAGAGAAATGCTTAGCTCTATCAGTTTGTGGTGCAGAGAGGAAAAGGCATAGTGCCAAAATATTTCAAATCAGATCACCATCACAAGCTCTGCTATCACAGAAAGGAAAAAAATATTAATGTTGTCTGCAGGTGGGCAAAATTCAATGCTGCCAAGAAAAATGCAAGCAAAACTGCCTTTACCTCTAAGAAAAGTGTCTCCAGCTGCTGCATTATGGTACCAAACAAGTTCCACATGTCAGATGAGGAATGCAGTGTGGTGCTGAAAAAAAGAAATGGCAGGCACCATCTGTATTCTTATAAATTCAGCAGTTGCCTAGAGAGTTGCTGCCATTGAAGGAAGATTGCTTCTCTTCTATTAATAAGGAAACTCGACAAGACTGAAAAGGGCTTGAAGGAGCTGTCATTAGAGAAGTCTACATTCCACAGCATCTCCCAGCAAAGAGAATGCAGCTTTAAAACTCACTGTCCTGTGGCTGCCAAAAATTTCCAGTAAATAGAACTGGTTCTTGAAGAGAAAAGGGCTGGGGCAGTAGAAAATCTACATATTTTTAAAGCAATATTAGGAACTGTTTGGCTTCATTTCTTATAAAGACTTCAGAGAGGGTCTAAAGGTAAATAAAGGGATCAAATGTATACTGGACAACCCTGTATGCAGCAGCCTTGAAATCTGCTCTGTGAAATCAGGCAAGTCTTGTTCTGCAGCTGTGCTGTCAGCACACGTAAGACCTTCCAAGGCAAGGACCACCCATCTGCATCCATGTTCCTCCAGCTGATAGGAAGTGGCCGGAAAAGAAAGGAAAAGTAAAAGGGTTGGTGAGGAAATCTGCAGCAAGCACAGGACCCAGCACTGGGCATTGTAGATATGGATTTGCTGTGGGTGTGAGGGCAGAGAAGGGGCTGATGCTCTGTTCAGTGGATTCTGTGGCTTCCATCTGCCAGGGCTGCCTGCCTGGGTGCCACTGCCTTTTCCTACACAGTGCACCATGAAAGAGAGAGACCTTCTGCAGAGTGGCATGGAGGTGACTGTGCCAAGCAGCTCATTAGCACAATGCTGGTGCATTGCTCATTGTTAAGGTGCCAATTCCCATTTTCAGCCTGGAGGGTATGCAAAGGGCAGGTAAACAGTTAATGAGCACAGTTCTTTGAATTAAACAGCTGAATCTGCGCTGAACTTTTAAATCTTTTATGGCTGTGATATTTCAGAGTCCTAAAAATGAATCAGAATATCTGACAGGTATGCCGTGAAGTTCCACATACACACTGTGCCAAGATTTAGCACTGAGAATTTACCTCTGATATGCTGACAAAGGAGAAATGTTTTATGCAGAGGTTTGTGGGCTGTTTTGCACCGAAAAGAAAATGGTAAAATTGAGCTTTTTACTGTTGCTTTTCTCACATAGAAAAATTCCATTGAAATACATGCAGTGGTTTCCCAGTATTACCACAAGCAAAAGGTTACTTCATCAATAAAATAATGTTGGTGCTCGAAGGCTTAATATATACATTACTGACAAGGTAGTGCTCAAGGTCAATATTGAAATACAGTCAGCAGTCTCCCAAATGTTAAACTAATCTCTATTCTTACATTGCCCAGTTCATCTCAAAGCCTTTCCCTCTTTGAACACACAGGCAGCAGTTAACTAGCCTGAGTGATAGCTACAATTGAAATGCAGCCCCTTTGCTGCATCTGTTTACCATCCTGCAGTAAAACTCCTTTTGTTGAAAGAAGTTTTCAACAAAAAATCAGAAAAAGAAGTAACAAATTTTCCAAGGAAACTCTTCCAGAGCCAAGGAAAAGTGGGAACCACAGAATCAGAGAACGTGCTGAGTTGGAAGGAACACATTTGGATCATGGAGTCCAAATGCTGGTGCTGCACAGGCCACCCCCAGGGTCACACCCGTGCCTGGGTGGTCAGGACTTGCCTGCTCCTTTTCTCTCAGGAGAAAGCTGTAACTGCAATGGGGTCTCACCTCAGTCTCCTCTTCTTCAGCCTCAACAGACCAAGTCACTCCTCACCAGGTTCCCCCTTCAGACCCTCCATCCTCATGGCCCTCCCCTGAACACTCTCCAACAGTTTAATATGAAATGTTTCATTTTGATATAAAGGAGTTCCTGTGATGTGGTATTGAGAAATTCTCCATCTCATCTAGACACCTTCTGCTGCAACCCAATCCCTGTTGCTTCAGTATGAAATCTTCCTCCCTTTGGTGGACAGAGATATTCTGACTCTGAAGCAGACATTTGTGTTCAAATCCATATTTATAAGAGGTATCCAAAAGAGAAAAGAAAAAAAGGTAGATATTCACAACAAAATTCTGGCAAAGAGAAAATAAATATTTCTGCCCCTTCCTTGATTTGAGTAAATGTACACAGAGAAGCAATTAAAAAAGGCTTAACTTAAATTGGTTTTCCAGATGAACAACGGTTTGGATAGCAGTGATTGCATATATAACATTTATCCCTTGGGTTAATGATACTCTCTTCCAATTTTCCTTAATCCCATTACAAAGTCAATAAATATTTCTTTTTTCCTAACACTATTCTCCAGCATTGTTTAGAGGAGAGGAGAGGAGAGGAGAGGAGAGGAGAGGAG